TGTGCTCCCGGTATGCCGCTCCAGTGAGAAACCTAGCTGCTGCCTGTAGGACTATTTGAAGCTTCCGAACAGTCTTCAAAGGCAACCCCTTGTAGAGCGCATTGCAGTAATCTATTCTTGATGTAACAAGAGTGTGGACCACTGTGGCCATGTAAGACTTCTTAATGTATGGGCGCAACTGGTGCACAAGCTTTAGTTGTGAAAAAGCTCCCCTGGCCCCCAGTGAAACCTGGGGTTCCAGTCTTAGCGACTTGACACTGACTAGGAAACCCAGGCCTGACTTCTTGCTTGAAAGCCAACGTTTCCTGAACTGAACTTGGGTTCACACAAGCTGACCATAAACAGATATGAAGTCATTGCATCTGCCACGAACTTTCCCTATCTGTTTCCCACAAAGCCTTGTTGATCTTCGAAGCTGCCTTATCTGTCCTAATCTGCAACGCAATTCTTTGCTTTGTTCTGTCTGTATTGCCAGGAGTTGTCCTGTGAGATTTTTCTGCCAATTCGTCTTCACTGAGCCCTTATCCAGGGATATTCCCTTATCCAGGGATGTTGTTTCTCTCTCTTGTGATTGACCTTGGAGCCCAGAGGGAATTGCATTCTCTCGTTCTTGACCTGTATCACTATCTGAGGCAATCACATTTTCTTGGCCTGTATCACTTTGAATCCCAGGAAAGCACACAATCCCTTCCGAGTGAAACTCATCATTGAACTCATCGGCCCCTAGCTGTTGTGACTGCAGTATGATTCAGTCCAAGCGTCAAAATGCAAATAAAAAAATAAATGAAACTACATAATTACTGTGACTCAAAATGAAAACCTATGGAAAACCTGGACAAATTAACATTTACCTTCTAGGGAAAAATAGATAGGTGTTGTCAATGTTCCATCCTTTGAAATCCTTAAAATGGCTGTTCAGTTTTTTCTTAACTGGTTCAGCCAGGAAGTTGTGGGCTAGATGCAAGATTTATGGAGGACGCCTGTCTAATGTGTTTAGACCATCAGATAAAACTGTCTGGCAATTTCTGTTTTTAATATTCAAGACTCGGGTGACATCACTCTTTATTCAGGGTAGTGCTGCCATCGTTGTCGTTGTGGTCTATACAGAAGAAGAAAGGGTTCTGTTCTAAAAACAAGTCTGTTTAATACAGTTTTATCCCAGTATTGCTGTAAAGAGCTCAGGAGAGCATTTTGAGTGTGGTCTCACCCTTCTTAACCTCCCCTCTCTCACTTCAATTTTCTCCTATGGGATCATTTGTGAGGAAGGTTGAACTGAGAGACATTGACAAACCCAAGTGAGATTGTGATTTTCAAGGGTGGAGACCAAGACTGGATTAAGGAAATTGACAATCTGTTCCGCTTTGTGCATGAGAGAGCTATTTTAGCATAGAAATTAAATGAATGAATAGGATTTAAATTTCAAAATAGAGTGAAGCAGGAAAATCTTCAAGTGAGAACTCGTTTTTAGCCCTGTACCTCATTTGAGACAGTCTGCTACGTCAACATAAAAATAAATAATAGGAATTCTGGAAAGCACAGGACGTGACTGAGGAAGATTTATAGCATACTATGCTTTCCGCCCACTGAATTAGGTACCTCGGTCTGAGCAGGACTGAGCTAAATAGTGCCAATTGAACTACTGATATCGAGAATCTGTCCTTGGTGACCACTATGATCTCACCTTGAAGTCCTCCACCTCAATTACAATTCACTGCCCTACACCTGTTATTCTAATGTAAAATGGTCAAGGGTGTGAGTAATATGCATGCATTTATTTATTGAATGTGTACCCCTCCTTTCTCCCAAGATGGGATTCAAGGGGGCTTGGAACTGTGACTTTTGAACCCAGGAACCCTAGGACGTCTTGGAAGCTTCTCTGAGGACGAAAGAAATGGTAGAAAGAGTACGCTTCTCCACTCCCCTCCACAACTAACCATAGGTCTTTTCCTGCAGTCTACAGATTTAGGAAGGAGGCTAGATATGTACGCTCTTTGAATGTGCATAATAAAGGTGCTTTGTTGACTTAAGGCAACCCCATTAATTTCGTAAGTTTTTCTTAGGCAAGGAATACTTAGAGCTGATTTTGCCCATTTCTTCTATTCCTGAAATGTTGCCCACAACACCTGAAAACTCTTTGGTTGGCTCCCAACCAGACCTGACTCCTCTTGCTTTCCAAAATGAGACAGGATCTGGTACCTTTAGGAAATTTAGGCACTTGTTTTATAACCCCCCTGGTGGTGTAGCAGGTTAAACCACTGAGCTTCTGAACTTGCTGACCGAAATGTCACAGGTTCGAATCAGGGGAGCAAGGTGAGCTCCCACTGTTAGGCCCAGCTTCTGCCAACCTAGCAGTTCAGAAACATGCAAATGTGAGTAGATCAATAGGTACTGCTTCTACAGGAAGGTAACGGTGCTCCATGCAGTCATGCTGGCCACATGACCTTGGAGGTGTCTACAATCAACACTGGCTCTTCAGCTTAGAAATGGAGATGAGCACCACACCCCAGAGTTGGATATGATGGGACTTAATGTCAGGGGGAAACCTTTACTTTTACTATACCTCTATAGTCACTCGTTCGATGTGCCTTTAGGATATAGGTACCTTTAGGATATGTAAACAGTTGTTCTATGGGCATTCGTTCTATGACTCAAGTTTCACTGAGGAGATGATGAGTCCCATCAGACCTGACTGTGGACTAAGGTGAACACAAGTCATTTAATTACACACACACACCCCTCCAAAACCATAACTGGTGGTCATTTTTAGAGACTGGGTGGGTTATTGGTCCAATTGGCGTAAGTGACTTCTGTGTTTAATATGTTCAAATAGTGCTTCTATATTTATGATGTTCTTGATGACTGCTTCAGTGGAACTGGAAAAAAATGCACAACAATCTCTGAACTCCTGATTTCAGACTTGGGCCCCTTCCACACAGCTGAATAAAATCTCATATTTTCTGGTTTGCACTGGAATATTACGGTAGTGTGGACTCAGATAACCCAGTTCAAAGCAGATATTGTAGGATTTTCTGCTTTGATATTCTGGGTTATATGGCTGTGTGGAAGGGCCCTCAGGCTTTGTTCTAAGATGGCAACTGATGCTTTGAGCATCATATAAGCATCACATAAGTTAGCAAACACGTGCCAGTTACTGTGTAAAATGAGAGAGTTCCAGCCTGGGACAACAATATCCCAGAATATACCATTTTTAATTATGCTAGAAAGTGCCCACATCTAGGGGCCTTACCAAACAGCCCTATATCCCAGAATAACAAGGCAGACAATCCCACAATATCTGCTTTGAACTGGGTTATCTGAGTCCACACTCAGATAATGTAGGATTTTCTGCCTTGATATTCTGGGATATAGGGCTGTATGGAAGGGTCCTAGATAAATTAAAAAGTGGGGCTTGTTTCATGCCTCCCATTAGATTTTCATTGACCCCTTTCACAATGTGACAGTTACTCTGTATGCCCCCCCCCCCCAGGCATTTTCTACATGATGAAACTGACATCATAATTCAAATAGCGTGGGCTATCATTGACAGGCTGAACATTTGCTTGGATTTGCAAAGAAAGCTGTACTGTATCCTGATAAGTGTTCTTGGTATGATCTAACAGGATGCCAACATTGTTAAGCAAAGGTGCAATCAAATGTATGCCTTAAGTATTAAACAATCCTAAGTTTGCCTCTAGACAGACCTAAAAAATATGTGTATGTTGCCTGCTACTCTTTCCAGCTCTGTTATTGACAGCTGCAGTTAAACCTATTTATACGAGCCTTTGTTGAAAGGCTTCTATGATAAACCTCCAGGCCCATCTGCCCTGACTCTTGATTGCAATCTCCTTCTGCCCCGCTAGCCATTTTTTCATTAGACTCCGGGATCACACATATTTCGTATTTAGGAAAAAATGTATCTGTCCATCTGCCTGTCTGTGTCTGAAAGGTGCATATGATGGGAAGAAGAAAACAAATGACATGTTTATAATCTTCCCAACATGCTTCTGGTGACATTTTTGTATGTACTTTATATCCCAGTGGCGCAATGGGTTAGACCCTTATGCCATCAGAACTGAAGACTGACAGGTCAGAGGTTCGAATCCGGGGAAAGCATGGATGAGCTCCCTCTGTCAGCTCCAGCTCCCCATACAGCGACATGAGAGAAACCTTCCACAAGGATGATAAAACATCAAAACATCCAGGCATCCCCTGGGCAACGTCCTTGCAGACAGCCAATTCTCTCACACCAGAACTTGGAGTTTCTCAAGTTGCTCCTGACAAGAAAAAAATGAGTTAACAGCATCTTCAGTTGTGGTTTCTCCCTATGAACAGGGAACATATTTTCCATGCAAATAAAGACCCATTGCAAGTGCAACTTGTGGGGACGAGGGAGAGGGTCTTCTCCATGGTGGCCCCTCAACTCTGGAACTCGCTCCCCAGAGAAATTAGGCCAGCCTCCACCCTGGCAGTCTTTAGGAAGAGCCTGAAAACTTGGCTATTCCAGTGTGCCTTTGATGAATGAACAATAATCCCTGACTTTGACCAAGCCCTGCATAAAATGCCCTCAGAAGCACTTTATCCCATCTTCTAGTGCAATTAAACCTCATTTTCGTCCCTCTAATCCTCTGTCTAGATTAATTACATGGCCTGCTCACCCAGTGTTTTTAAATTTTTAATCTTTGCAGTTTGCCCTGCCCACTGCCCACTGTGTTTTGTTTTGTGTTTGTGTGTGTGATTCAATTATATTGTTTGGTGTGTTCATTTGTATTGTTTTCTGTATTTTTTTTTAATTTTCATTATATTTTATGTTGTATATTTGCTTGACTGTACTATTGGGCTTGGCCTCATTTAAGCTGCCCAAGTCCCCTTGGGGAGATGGTGGTGGGGTATAAATAAAGTATTATTATTATTATTATTATTATTATTATTATTATTATTGAAGCTGAATGTGCCATTACCGTTTTAACATCTTCTCTCTGTGTCTCTCCTGTTTCTTGCAGGAGAGTTGCTGAGTCAGCCGAGGCCAGAAGGAGTGACGGAGATCATTTGCCCAAGGAATGGGAACGAGCGAGTGAATGTGGCTTTAGTTTACCCCCCTTCGCCAACAGTGATCAGCCCTTGTTCCAAGTGACCTCTGGAGGACTCCTGCCTTCGCCCTTCCACAAGGACACACCAAACACCCCTTAATCAAATAAGCCCTTGCGCAGCGTTTTTGGAGATGTGCAGCCCAGAGATGGTTCTGATGATTTGTGGCACCGGGACATCACAGCTTGGGAAAGAAAGGTAAGGTAAGGCTGCTTCCCTTGTGAATGGTGAATGGACCCGACTTGAAATCACTATATCTTCACAAACACAAACTGACCATGAATGAAACCCTTCCCCCTTGAAAAAATGGGGCATAGAGCTTCAAAGGAATTCAGCAGATACATCTCCTAGCTCCCAGCCCCCGACCACAACCATTCGCAAGATAAGGCCTAATGCGATACAGGCAGTCCCTGAGAAGGGGGCCAGGGTGAGACAACAGAAACTGGAATAAATCAACCCCTTCAGAAGGGAAATTCACCCCTGAAAAGGTGTCTCCACTAAAGCTTTATCACCAAGCCTTCTTTCCACAACAAGTCAAATGTTTCAAACTCCAATTCTCACAGGGGCAGAAAGTGAGGTGAAGTCTTCTGAAAAGGGACAAAGACAGCAAAACAAACACCACAGGTGTGTTAACCCTTTCCTATGCTATCCAAAGCTAAAAGATATACCGTATATACTCGAGTATAAGCCGACCCGAATATAAGCCAAGGCACCTAATTTTCCCACAAAAAACTGGGAAAACTTATCGACCAGAGAATAAGCCAAGGGTGGGAAATGCAGCAGCTAATGGTAAATTTAAAAATAAAAATAGATACCAATACAATTACATCAATTGAGGCATCAGTAGTTTAAATGTTTTTGAATATTTACCACATTTCAAATAAAAACAGCAAATTAGCTCTGTAAGTGGAAAAGTAGGGTTGACAAAAATAATATGCTATCAACAATAACTTAATAATAATAATAACAACAACAACTTCATTTGTACCCTGCCCTATCTCTCCATGGGACTCAGGCTAGCTTCCAACATAGTAACAGGCAAACTTTCAATGCCTATATAAACAATGCAGAGCTAGATATAGACCTATAATTATATAAACTATTTTCACATAATGCATTTCCCACTGAAACATTTGCAAATCCTCTATATGTGTGTGTGTGCATTTCTCTCTTGCATTATTTGCAAGCCCTATATATCTATATTTATATCTTTCTAGATGTGTGTGTGTGCGCGCGCGCATTTCTCCTGCAATATTTGCAAGCTCTATATATCACATAATATATTTAGATACACACAAAAAAGGCCAAGAAATTGGGTGGGTTAGAAAGAGAGCCATACAAACAAGGAGGACATGAAATAAATCTCCTTTCCCTCCGTCCCTCCCTTTTGACTGGAAAAGAAAACACACTGTTAAGGGAAATAAGAGGAGAGAGATATAGATATTGTAAGCAGTGGCCTCCAGTCTCTGTTGCCTGGCCTTTGTGTAATTGTAACTTGCTGCCATCGTGAAATACACTGCTTTGAATTTTTGAAACACCCTGTATTATGCTAGATTCTATGATGGAGCTAAATTGAGGGTCAGTATTTTATATTGTGTCATGTAAATAGACTACTTTAATGTAGCATTTAGTGTAGTCCTGCAATGATATGTGCATGTTTAGCAGATTTGAATATGGTTTGAAATTCCACCTGCATATCATATTCGATGCAAATTGTAGGTGCCAGAAGAGGATGTACCTAAGTGGTGAATGATTCATTGTTCCTAACATGGTTCTGTTTTGCACACATTCCTTAAATTCCATAGGAAGTATATCCCAATGCGCACAAAGAAACCATGAGCAAACTGTGGCATCCCACTAAAATGTACCTAGTGGCACAATGGGTTAAACCCTTGTGCCGGCAGGACTGAAGACCGACAGGTCGCAGGTACGAATCCAGGGAAAGTGCAGATGAGCGCCCTCTGTCAGCTCCGGCTTCCCATGCGGGGACATGAGAGAAGCCTCCCACAAGGATGGTAACACATCAAAACATCCAGGCATCCCTTGGGCAACGTCCTTGCAGACGGCCAATTCTCTCACACCAGAAGCGACTTGCAGTTTCGCTCCAAACACACACACACACACACAACCCTAAATTACCATATTTACTCGAATCTGATGCTTACCTTTTTTGGCTAAATATTCTTGCCAAAATTGGGTTGCGCATTGGATTTGTGTCATACAGTAATCCTAATTCTGAGCCAGAGCAAAGGGGGAAGATGCTTCAGGAGCTGCACCTGGAGCTCCTCTTTGAGGGATGTTATCTTTAACCAAATGGCCAGGACTCAGTGCTATGCAATCGTGAGATTTGTAGTTTGGTGAGGCATCTGCATTCTTTGGCAGAGAAGACTCAAGGCCTTCTCAATCTACAGCCCCTAGGATTCCACAACATTAAACCAAGGCAATTAAAGTGGATTCATTCTACAGCATAGATGCACCCCAAAGTTTTCTTTTCTGTCATTGGAAGCTTTGGTATCCTAACACTTTTGTTTTTAAAGAAAGAATCCTAAGTAGGCAGCAACTGTAAAGTGCACCTTTGTGGCCAAATTGCATTACATTCAGCAACAAATTCTTTGCTCTCTCTCTCTCTCTCTCTCTCTTTGGTTTCAGAGTTTTGAAAACTGTGAGGCACATTAGTTTCGATGGTGCATTAGACTTGAGTAAATGTAAGTGGTACTAAGAAACATTAACACTGAGCATATATATTTTAAAGCATATTCATTTATAATTAAAGACTTTTGAGTCCAAAGCATTGACTCATGAAATCAAACATTTCTCACCAGTCATTTGCTAAAATCATCAGAGTTCATACTAATGATTACTGTTTTGGGGGCACCAGCCCCTAAAACTATTTTAATAAAATTATCAGTGAATGAATAAGCAATACCATTTATTCATTCTTAATGGTCACAGTGGCCAAGCAGTGAGGAATGTTCCTAACTGCATTTTGAGTTTTTGATAGATACAATCAAAATCGGTTTGTTGTTTTGTAGACACTCCTGAGTGAGATTCATGGGAGAATAGTCTCAGTGAGTGCATTTACCATGATAGATGCTGGGTATTTGTGAGATTTGGAAGATGACCATCACCACCCATACAAATTTCCCCAGGTTAAATGGTTAGTCGCTTCTGGTAGTGCTCTGACCTACCAGAAGCACTGCTTGAATATCAAGCAAAAAGTAAGTGCTAGAAACAATATCTGACTAGCACAACCTGGGGATCACAACCAGATACAATGAAGACATCTGCCCTTGTGCTTTGTTACTCTGCTGCTGAGTATGCATGCCCAATGTGGAACACATCTCACCATGCTAAAACAGTGGATGTTGCTCTTAATGAGGCATGCTGCATTATCACAGGATATCTATGTCTTACACCACTGGAGAAATTACACTGTTAGGCCAGTATTGCACCACCTGACATCTGCCGGGAAGTAGCAGCCAATAATGAAAGGGCCAAGGCAGTGACATCTTCACCCCATTCTCTGTTCAGATATTAGCCAGAATGCTAACACCTTAAATCAAGAAACAGTTTTCTAAGATCTACAGAGATACTTGCAGGATCACTTCAGCAAGCGAGAGTCCAAAAGCAGCAGGCTAAAACCCAGAACCTCAACCCATGGCTGATACTGAATGAGACTCCCCCGTGGGCACACAGAAGACTGTGCAACTTGGAAGACGCTGAACAGGTTGCGCTCTGGCACCACGAGATGCAGAGCCAGCCTTAAGAAATGGGGCCACAAAGTGGAGTCCACGACATGCGAGTGTGGAGAAGAGCAAACCACAGACCAGCTATTACAATGAATGTAATTACAAGTTTTTAAACTTTGTGGTTTTTTAAAAATATATTGCAACTGTACCATTGGTTTGCTTCTGATACAATAAATCAAATAAATAAATAAATACATGGTTAGCCACTGTTTGAAACCAAATGTTTAGTCTAATCATGAATGCTGGTTAGTTTTGTATTCCTAGGGCAAATAAAAATGCTTCATCTACCAACTTAATGTTTCTATTTTTTTTTCTTTTGGGGATTGATAAGATAATGTATATTTGGAATTGTAACCATTGTGATCTTAGAGGCTTCTGTTCTGTGTTCTTTTAACATGCAGATTAATGGAAGCAGATGTGTCGAAAGCTGAGCACAAGTCTGCAGTCTGCCCAAATTGATCCTGACCACAGCTGGGACTGAGCATTTGTTCCTCAGAACTCTCTGCATTGGCTCGTTGAAGCAGGAAACACAGTAACCCCATTTCGATCTACTTTTGAACTTGGACACACTACGATCTGAAAGCTCTGGATGTTTTAAAGTGCTTCACAAGTACCCAAACAAGAGCGTTGCTGGTTCACAGCAGTGCACCGAGTCTTAGAACTCTCTGGACCTGTCTTGTGTACTTGTTTGGACCCTTTCATGAATGTAAGATTTTTTTTCCACCACGGTTACCATTCAGATGTACCTGAAGAAATAGCTGATGGAAAGAAACTGTTAATTCTGTGGGAAGTTCCCATGCAGGTATGTTTTGAATCCATCACTATATTTAGGTATACTTTAGGACTTCTTGGAGCACTGTAGTTGGCTTCCTCTGCAGACAAGAGACCTACCCAACATGTTCCCTTTCTTGATTCTTAGAGCTCTTCCACACAGCCATGCAACCCAGAATATCAGGGCAGAAAATCCCACAATATCTGCTTTGAACTGGGTTATCTGACTCCACACTCAGATAATGTAAGATAGTCTTCCTGGATATTCTCAGATATAGGGCTGTGTGGAAGGACCCTCAGTCTCTCAGCCGATCCCTGGAACTTCAGGAGAGCCAAAGGAAGAGCTGTTTAAAGGTTGCGCTGTATCTTATGGGTTCCATCCCAAGTGCACCATTCTTGATGGGTACTGATATGAACTATAGTGTGTTTACCATAGTAGCAAATGTTCTATGGGTTCCAGTCCAAGTGCGCAACCCTTGTTGGGTACTGATATGGGTGTGTTTACCATAGTTGCAAATGATGTACAGAAAGTATGCGTGCAGCTGGTTTAGACATGTATGTCCACCTCTATGAGGTGGTCTTGCCTGCATGAAGGAACTGACATCAGTTAGCAGAACCACAGGTAGAACTTTCCATGTTTCCCGAAGTCAATCTAAACAGTACTGTTTGGGTCCATTTGTGATTATAGTGGAAATATCAAGATATTGATTTTCAAATTAGCATCATCAGAAAAAGAGAATATGCAGAGGAAATAGCTCACATGAAACGCAATTGTAGAGCAGCTATTTCTGCGATGGTTTTGTGTTCCCTTGCTGATGTTCAGAGTCTTATCTAGTAGTTTTGTGCTAGCTTCGTTTTTTTGTGAACATAAATTTCGGTTTTGTTCAGGATTGGGAATTAGAAACATTTGCTAAGTGCAGACATACATTAATATATTTTTGTCCTGGAGAACAATTTAAATGTCATTTTTAAATCACAGTTAATAGGAAGTGTGTCTGTGTGTGGGCACGCATGTGGGCACAATAGTGTTGGGGGGAAAATCTTACTTAATAAAATGACGCTTGCCATCTGTTCAGTAGACTACAGTAAATATAGGATGTCATTGTCAGTGGAAGAACATTCATCTGATTATTATGATTGCATACTTGCACAAAATGAATAAAACAGTATATATTCAGGCTGCGCTTCTTCCACTTTTTAAAGATGTGACACCCATGTCTTATAAAAATACAGAAGGACAGTTAGCTAAATTAAATTCAGTGCAAAGCCAACACACTTATCACCCAGCAAGGAGCCATGGTGGTGCAGTGAGTTAAACCCTTGTGCTGGCTGAACCGGTGACCTGAAGGTCAGCAGTTCAAATCCATGACATGGGGTGAGCTCCCATCTTTCATCCCCAGCTTCCCATGTGGAGACATGAGAGAAGCCTCCCACAGGATGGTAACACATCTGGGTGTCCCCTGGGCAATGTCTCTGGGCAATGATTCACTCATACCAGAAGCGACTTGCAGTATATTCTCACTTAGCTTCTGACATGATAAAAAAATCACCCCGTAGCAAAATTAAAAGCAAAATAAAATATTACCAAGTATAGAATAGCTGGTAGGACTTGTGCAGGAGATAATTTTGTAATAAATTCACCAAGTAAAAGGAGAGTCCAACTCCTGGGGGAAACTGGCTTCATTGCTGAAGTCTGTAATATTCAGAATGGAGCTTCTCTAGATGAGTGAAGAAGAAGAAATAATGATATTTATAATCTACTTTTTTCTCCCAGAAATGGGCTTTGAACAGTAAAATACACATACAAAAGATTATCATTAGACTGTAATAATGTTAATTAAACCAATTTAAAACATACTTTAAAATAAAAGTATTTTCTTTTGAAAGGCAACACTCTCTTTAGGCCTAAACTTGAAAAACAATCCGTTCCCAAACGTCTGTTAACATTTTAAAAAAAGGCTTTATCTGCCAGTGGAAGGACAGCAAGGAAGACGCCATTCAACACTCCTAGAGCTTTGAAGAAGGCACCAAGAAGGCCTTGTCCGACTTTTCCACCAGATGTTTCCCGGAAATGGTGGAAACAGAATTAACAACCTCTCTAAAGAATCTCAGGTTCAGGACAAGCTTCTGGGAGAATGCAGACCTACATTCCTCACCTTTTCCATGCTTTTCTATGATTCAAAACATTTAGTGCTTCGGCTTTAGGCAGCGAAGAGGGAGAAATTTCTGTGTCTCTAGACATTGAAATAGTAAGGTCTGCATAGGTTATTGTGAAGGGAGACACAATACCAGACTCAAAATACACATGCAAGTGCATGTCATTAGCAAGGTGCCAGCCAACTCTTTCCCCAAACATGTTCAACAAATAGTAACTTGCTCCAGAGAAGGGAACAGCATCACAAAATGTTGTTCACAGTTTATGAGATATGGGGTTCTTCTTACCCAGGCATCTTGAATTTTGAATACATTCTGAACCCTTTACCTAATAAACCATGTTCTTATTTATTCATTTATCTTGAAAAAGGGCAGCAATTTTGTAGATTTGCTTGGACATCAAGTTGAAGTTTGACTCCAGCTCAGTTTGCTTCAGTAGACTGGAAATGGGTTGGTGGGGTGGAGGAGCTGGATAAATGCTGGCATACCAGAGTTATAACACCACAAAATCTGACTAAGAAAGCCTGGATTAGAGATCAGCTGGATATTGATTATAAGCTCGTAAAAGCTCCTTGAGCTCCTTTTGGGAAAGGAAAACACTTGCTGTTTTTTTTTTGTTTTGTTTTGTTTTGTTTTTTTGCCTAAGAAGCAAGAAAAGTGCTTCCCCGGCAATCCCTTTTCTCCTCTTCTTAATAATAATAATAATAATAATAATAAATAACAACTTTATTTGTATTCTGCCCTATCTCCCCAATGGGATTCAGCATCATAATAATAATATAATATAATAAACTTTATTTATACCCCACCACCATCTCCCCAAAGGGGACTTGGTGCAGCTAACATGAGGCCAAGCCCAAAAATACAGTACAGCATAATAAAATACAGAATGCAGACAACAAAAAATTACATCAGAATAAAATACATACAGTAGCAAAATAAAATAAATAAAGCAAATTAACTCATTATAAAATCAAACAGAATGGGCAGGCCAAATGGACAAGGTAAAATGATAAAATCCTGGATGAGATAGGAAAGAAAATATATAATTGAGGGGAGCCCAAAAAGAATAAACAGTGGGGTTGGCTTTTAGTATAGGACGGGGGAATGGCAAACATTCAATGTCTACATAAAACACATGTTGTTGTTGTTCATTCGTTCAGTCGTTTCCAACTTTTTGTGACTTCATGGACCCGCCCACGCCAGAGCTTCCTGTCAGTCGTCACCACCCCCAGCTCCTTCAAGGTCAATCCAATCACTTCAAGGATCCCATCCATCCATCTTGCCCTTGGTCGGCCCCTCTTCCTTTTTCCTTCCATTTTCCCCAGCATCATTGTTTTTTTTCCTTTCTTCTCATGATGTGGCCAAAGTACTTCATCTTGGCCTCTACTATTCTTCCCTCCAATGAGCAGTCAGGCTTTATTTCTTGAAAACACATGATACTAACATAAAATCTCAGAAAAACCCCACCTATAAAGTCACATTAAAGCCTAACATCAAATTAAGACCGAACATCAGTAAATTAAACCTGACATCAATAAATTAAACTACACATAATCTGACAAAATTCTATAATAACATAAATCTAAACAAAACAACCACATTAGTGTACAACAGCCACCACGGGTTCACAAAACAGTATGGGTTGGTTATGTAGTCAAATGAGAACATTGGGCTGGCGTGGACCAGGAAAGCCCAAATACAAATAGTTCTCAACCAGAGGCCCTGCAGTGATCTCTCAACCATCTATTTACTACTACTCCTCTCCATACGCTAGTGAGCAAAAGTAGGTCCAGTTGTTTTTTGAAGGAGAGGAGGGAGGGGGCCAGCTTTATTTCTTTAGGGAGTTCCTTCTCTTGCAATTCCTTTCTCACTTTTTGTAACACTTCATGATGAAGGTCCAGAAAGATAATCAAGGATGTCGCAGCACTGGCTCCTTTATTTTGGATAGGGATTGGCAATCTTTTGGAAAAGTCTAGGGAACAATGGGTAGGCCACTCTCCCCTCTCCTATTTTTACTGTTGGTTTGTTTAGTTCTTAAGGCTTCCATTATTAGTGTCTGTAGGAGCATGTGTGAATTAATTGCAGTAATGGCTTGACTCTAATGAGGCTGCTGAACTGTGGAAATCCAGAAAATGTTGGTCACCAAGATAGCATTATGGGCAAGAAGAGAAACTAGGCTAGATGCTGTCTGCTCTTTCCAGTCAATTAAGGGCATGGCGATTCTAGGCCTGGAAGACAATACAGTGCTAGTTGCTAGCAGCATGCAAAACTACCATCCCAATGGATAGATACCCAGTTTATACATGGGGAAAGAATGCATGAAGGTGGTGGCCAGCATGAAAACTGAGCATAGCCATTTCTAGTTCCACTCAATGTTAGGTTAGTGGTTGTGATTGTCAGTGGAAGGATAGGGAAGCTATACTGAAAAAGTTCTGGATGGTTCTCCCCTTCTCATATCCAGATTTCATACCTGTTTTCTCAATATCTGCTTGAGTATTTGTTTTTGATATTCCAGAACTTTTTGGAAAACCACCTGTTAATGGGGTAATCACACTTTTTGGGGGGTGAAATTGCATTTATAACCTTTTTGAAAAGAAAAAAAATGTCATGTCCTTTTGACAAATGTGGATTCCCATCAACATCTGGAGACCACCTTTTGAAAACCACTAGTCAAGGAAAGGCATGACCTTGTTAGAAGTCAACCCTTTGAAAAAGTAATGTTCACAATCATTTGTGTAATGGCACACAGGTAACTCCGCTGTTAAACTGCTTTGAACTGCCAGGGACAAAGACATGCCACTGATACAAAAAAACATACCTAGCTATCAGAGTTTTGAAAAGTTTATTTGAAGTTGAAATTGCAGTTGTCTGAAACATATACTCTCCTTCTTCTTAGTTTAAAAATACGCACTCAGAGACAAAAAACAAAGTCTTCTTTTAAAAGTAACATAATTTGTTCACTCATAAACATCTTGTGTTAATTCAGCATACAGGCACATTTATAAATAGGCTGTAGTTTCTCTGTGTTGAGAATACAAGACAAAGTTTTGAATTAGTAGTCCAAAGTCTTTAAGTGTGTGTGTGTGTATACTGTATATAATTTTTGCTATATTTGTATACCGCCTTTCTCAGCCCATAGGCGACTCAAGGCGGTTAACAGGGCAAAATTCAATGCTTACAATGCCATAAATACAATTAAAAACATAACATATAATAAAAACTAAACAAATTAATAAAATATAAATTCATAGTGTCGCCTTGTTAAAAATATTGTCCGGACTCATTGTCTAGTCGTTCCGTTTTCCTATGTCAGTTACTCTGCATATCTTATGAAAGTCCAAACTGTATAACTGTACTCACTGCTTCTCAAAGCAAACATATAGTAAACTGTTCCTGCATAAGTCTAAAAGGCAGTCTGCTTCCATTGAAGTCCAAAAGCGTACTGATAACAAAATGGAGTCTTGAGTCTGAACATGCTCAGTATAATCACATGCCTGTAGCCCCTCCCACACCAAAGAGGTCAGTCGAACTGGCAAATCAATATATACCTTCAATACAGGTTAGCAAATATATATATTAATAAATAGTGAGGGCTTGGAAGGTTGCTATTTCCAACAAAGTTAACCATACCTAATATCCGCCTCTCCAGATAGTTTGTAATAATGGACATGTATACAAAACAAAAGAGAATTTCATCAAACTCATTGAAATCTTTTGGGAGAGACTTTGCAAGGTTTCTCAAAAATACTTTTACATACACTTCATTGAATGTTTGGTGAGTTGCTGCTAAGCTAGACATTTACAAAAGTTCAGTCTAGGTACTAATTTACGCATTTATACACATCAGTTGAGGGCCAGAAGACAACTCTTGTTTTCAGATACTTTATTTTTTGCTCACCTGGATTATATTTAAGTGGCACTCCACTTATGATAATGTTGGTTGGGACATGTTTGTGGTTTGCTCCTTGTATGTAAACATCTTTTTGTTCTTTTTTTTAGTTTCCTCAAGAAATGGAAAATTCTGTGGCTGTGATGTGCTGTGGAAAAGGAAGCAGAAACAAAACTGGAAAATACCTCTTCTGAAGGACACTTTCCCAGTGACTGAAATATAACTTAAACCCCAAACTGACCTGGTTTAAAAAGTAATATATTAACTTGCGGATGAAAGAGGGACTAAAGGATTCATTGCTTGACCCTTCAGCCTCAGGATCATTCTCTCGCAAAGAGCTGCTTGCCAACAGAATGGGCTGAAAAGCTTCTCAGGGATTATGTTTAGTGTGCAGTTTCAAAGCCACAGCTGCAGTTCAACGACAGCAATATCGGGGGCATTCCGTTTCCAAGTCTGTCAAATGTGAAAAGAGAGATCACTGCTGAAGTTCACTGCTGTTCAGTAATTTGTGTTTTTTTAAAAAAAGAAAAAAATGTTTATATTTATTTTTGTAAGTTTTTAATTATCTATGCAGTTTAGACTTAAGTTGACACTGGGTGCAAAGTTCTGCATGGGTCCAGCTGGTTTGATGGTTTTGTCATCAATATAATGCATGTTTGTATCCTCACTCGTAAAACGTTTGTCACATGTACACACCAAATATATACTTCAGTTTCACGGTGCAGTTCCATAGTATAATAAACCCACCTAAAATTCTAGCATAGATTCTTCTTGGAATTCCTTTGCAGTGGAGGAATATTTTGGGGATGAGAGAAGGTAGTTTCAAATTTTAAAAAACGTGTTGGATGGCAGAAAAGCAAACTAGGGATTCTCTATTCATAAACAATGGTAGGTCAGGAAAAATGGCAGGGAACCAATCAAGCAAGGAAGTGCACAAGGAAAGATACATATCAATACTTTGAAAGCAGCAGAGCTCATTATGGTAAAACCTTGGAGTCTAAGGCCCGTCTACACTGTCATATAATCCAGTTTGTGAATTCAGATTATCTGGGTTATACGGCAATGTAGACTCATATAATTCAGTTCAAAACAGATCATCTGGATTCAGAAACTGCATTATATGTCAGTGTAGATCCAGCCTAAGAGTGTGTTTCAACTGTTGGTGGAAACATATCACAGCAATTGGCCTTTATTGGTAGAGAAGTCTTGTTCCTTTCATCTCTTTGGTCACTTTTAATGCCATGGCTGCAGCTGGTAAACTCCTGGGTTTTATAGTCTGTTGAGGCACAACATCCCTTGGACATCATTCTAGATGTTCCTCCCTAAACGGAAGTTCCAGGATTACATAGGAAGGAATCACTGCAGTAAAAGTGGGATCATAGTGCTATAATTGTGTGACGTAAAAGCAGCACTGGTTTACGTTCAGTGTGCTAACATTAAATGCTAAGAACAATGCAATCTTGCAATGGATTTTTTAACCTTCTCAGTTCCATATAGGCTTTTTCCTCCTGTAATTATTAACTTCTGAATAAACCTCAATCAAACTTGGGAAGATGATAGGTGCAAGCTTTGCAGTATACTGCAGCTTGGAAAACAAAGGAATAGATTTAGTTGGAGCCCAGTTTATTTTAACACAGGCAGCATAATTACTCCCATTTAGTGGTTGCTGCTTTATTACCCTGATGTTAATAAATTCTGCTCAGCAGGTTAAAACAGATCGTATGCTGGATTCATACCACAACTGCCAGGCTGGGCAGGTGTAATTATGTGTCATTCTTTGCAATACAATCTGCCCTAAACCGTACCAATAGTAGCTCAAAACAGATCATATGCTGGATACATACTACAACTGCCAGGCTGGGCAGGTGTAAATTGCACGTCATTCTTTGCAGTACTATCTGCCCTAAACTGTATCAATAGTCCAATAGTTTTGCTGGAATACCTTGGGAATAGTAACCGCTTGGAGGCAGCTAGTGTCCCTTGCTCAGAAAAAAATCCCATAGTTTTGGAGCTTCCACTATTACGTTTAACATCATATGCAAAATTCTGCCTGAATTCTAAAATGTAATTTTGAGATGATATGAGGTTCAGAGGAAAACTTAAACAATGATTACGTTTTGTATTTATACATCACGAAGAGTATGGAAAGCGGGGATATGTGTCAGCCGGTGTTGTGTCTGGTGTCATGCGTGAATTTCTAATGCCAGTGACTTCTGTATGTGCAGGTGTGCATGTTTATTTTGAAGGCTATGGTGTTTTCTCTAGAGTAGTCCAATGGACAGCTCTCTGTACAAAACATTTAGTTGGGGACATTGCAGGAATTCTCTGTATGATGGATCTTGCTGGCACTCTCTGGTCTAGGGTTGATTTAATTGGAGTAAACCTAGTGCCGGATTAACACTCCAGATGGCTAAGAAAAGTTCACACGTCGATTTTGACATTACTTAAAAGTAAAATAGATTAACATTCAGAACTGTAGTGTTTAAGTTTGCCTTAAACGGTTTCCGGTAAACAGGATCATACTGTGGTAAAGTGCCAAAACAGCAGTGCTAACAAGTGTGGTTACAGGATTTGAATACTGGCAGATAGTGACTAAAGATGAGATGTCTAATTGCATCCCATCTTTGATGTAACTTTCCATGGAGCATTGGATTTTGTAGAAAATGCTTCTTTGGTTTGAGTTTCCCTTATGAAAAGTTGGTGTAATCAATGGGAGTGGGAAAGTAATTGGACATTGAACCTTTCCTGCTATTAGCCCACAAACAAATGGGCTTTTGGGCTGCTGTGAGTTTTCTGGGCTGTATGGCTATGTTCCAGAAGCATTCTCTCCTGACGTTTCACCTACATCTATGGCAAGCATCCTCAGAGATTGACTCTGGAGATGACCACTTAATTGCTAAGTTATATAAATTCTTGTTAAAATACGAAATGGAGGAATAACAGGAGAAATAAGGACCTCGCAACCTCTGAGGATGCCTACCATAGATGCAGGCAAAACATCAGGAGAGAATGCTTCTGGAACATGGCCATACAGCCCGGAAAACAATGATTCCAGCCGTGAAAGCCTTCGACAATAGATGGACTTCTGTTATTGGGAAAGTAACTAAGAATGCTCAGTATCATTGTATGTACAGACTGAACACAAATAATTGTTTTAATTGTGTTGTGAATTTTAAGAGCAAGTACATTTTTCCAAGAAAGTTCTCATTTGCTATGCATCAGGTAGACATGCAGATTTGGGCTGGCAGTGCATCTTGGCAGGACCCGGTTGTGAGAGAATCAATGAAGGATTTCTATCTGTTCTTCCAGGAAGAGAGGGTGAGATTTTGCTGAGTGAAGCATCATTCCAGGCATTCCTCTTAACTGCTGGAGACTTGCCCTTGGAAGCAGTCACATTTCCTGTCCCTAGCTACTATGACAGGAAAAGCTATTTTCTAGAATTGTATCACAGTGCTGCCAAACTAAACATGTGTCATTATCGGTTTTTATTTCTCAAAAAGTTCCACTATGACCCACCTTGGTGATTCACTCCTGGGAGGACAGAAAAATGGAGGAGGATGTTGGTCAGCAGTGGGCAGCGGGGGCACTATATTTAACAGCGGTCTGTTACCGTATTACAGCACAGGCATTTTTTTTACAAAAAGAAAAATGATCAACCCAAACAATACACTGAGAATAAAAAAATATCTTAAATCTGAGTCATTTCTGTCCATTCATTTACTCACAATTGTGTGTGTCTTTTTTTTTTAAGGATCAATTTTGGCTTTGGTTTCTAAAACACAAAGCTTTAGGGGAAAAATACATCTGCTCTTCACTGTCTTTGGACCCATCCACACTGACCTTTTAATGCAGCTTCAAAATGCAAAGGAAAGACTACACACACTGCAAAAGCACGCTGCAACGTATTTTAGGCACAGAAATCCGACACAAGCAAAGTCAGGGGAAGTTAAAAATGAAGCCCTTGATGTGCATCAGCATGCTGTAGTATAAACCACATCACACGGCAAAATTGGCAGAGCACTACACTGATGCATATATGTGCATACTGGAGGGGAAAAATTAAAATAATGGTTCCAGTATACTGTGGATCCTGGAACCAGGTCAAAGCCAGCCTTTGCATTGCCTGCACCACCAAGGCCCCTGGTAGCGCAGCAGGTTAAACTGCTGAGCTGTTAAACTTGCTGACCGAAGGTGGTTCAAATCTGGGGAGCAGAGTCAGCTCCTGCTGTTAGGCCAGCTTCCGCCATCCTAGCAGTTCAAAAACATGCAAATGTTAGTGAATCAATAAGTACTGCTTCTGCGGGAAGGTAACGGCACTCCATGCAGTCATGCTGGCCACATGACTTTGGAGGCAGCTATCTGGGTCTTTCAAAATGCAAATTGCCTCTTCAAGTTCTACAGCACTGCTGGTCACAACTGACCTCCAGCTAGAGCGTTCAAGGGCCAGGGCTTCACAGTTTTCGGTGATGGAATCGTTCCAGGAGTTGCATGTGACGTCTGTAGACAGTCCACATTTCACAGGCATATAGCAGGGTTGGAAGGACAATAGCTTTATAAACAAGCACCTTGGTATGCTTACGAATGTCCTGGTCCTCAAGCACTCTGTGTTTCATTCAGAAGAAAGCTGCACTCGCAGAGCTCAGTGTTGTATTTCAATGTCAAGGTTGACTTTTTTTTTAGAGAGATGGCTGCCAAGGTAGCGGAAATGGTCAACATTTTCTAATGTTACACCATTAAGCTGTATTTCTGGCATTGGAGAGGGATTGGCTGGTGACAGCTGGAAGAGCAGCCAGGGTATGAATATTTCATGGATTGTTTGTATTTCTTTTTGGAAGATCTAGTTCTAGACATATATGGAAATAAGTTGAGTACAAGTAGATAGTTGATTGTTATTCACAAATTAGCTAGATGTTTACCTTTCTAAATTTTCTCTAAGTTGCTTCCACATCAGAAAGGCATAACTTTGTGCACTTTTCTCCAAAGGAAACAAGTATTTTTATGTTGACCCCCAATTTAATTTTAATCTAACATATTAAATTCTCTAGTCAATAGATTATGAGACACAGCTATTATGCTTACAAGCAGCAATCTTTCAGAAAATAATAATTCTTTTGCATTATATATTATATACACACACAAAACCATTCCAAGTGATTCCTTCTATTTTTATTTTTATTTTTTAATAAACTGGTTTTCTCTATTTGTCTCACAAGTAGGATCTGTTTTGGCACTAGGCAGTAAATGCTATAAAATTATCAGATCTTTGTGATGTTGTTTTAGCAAATGATACCTGCATTCTTTGTTTCCTAGGTAAAGAAAAACAAGTTGCTAGGGAAACTATGAATTTCATTGTTATCTTTTCAGAACCGCAGTTTCAACCATTCAAAGTAGTTAATGCTCTGAGTGCATCTATACTGTAGAATTAATATAGTTTGACTCCACAGCAACTGCCATGACTCAAAACTATGGAATCCTGAGGTTTGTAGTTTGGTGAACTCGTTGGCAGAGGAGGCCAATAGCAATATCTTTTGCTAAGTGAATGCAGGCCCATTGTGCCGTATTTCCTGGTTCAGCCTCTCTTAACCAGATGGGCTTTTTTGCTTTCGATAGAGAGCTGCAGATCTGCTGTTGACTATCAACTCCTGCATTGTTCAGGGAAATGATAGACAAGGCAATAAGGCAGCTTCATCCATGCCCATATCCCAGCTGGTCTGCATATGTCTATGCTGTCACTCATACAATTTTTCATCACATACATAATAATTATGTAGGTTAATCCTGCATCTGATTTGTCTATTTAGAATGAGCTGAGCTTACTGGAAGCTTAGCTTAAAAAGAGGCCAGATTTAAGGTAACCGTGTAATAAAGAAAACTGTAATAATTATCACAAAAATGAACTTTATAAAACAGTTTCCAAATCAAATAAAGATACATGGTTCTCATAGTTCTCATAGAAAACAAGAATCAAACATGCCCATTAAATCTGAAAAAAAAAATCTGTTCCTGGTTCAAAAGTGTTATTTCCTGCTTAATTGTGCAGAACTTAATTTGAAAGTAATTGTTACACTCCCGAAACTTTGTGGCCACAAACTTATGTTGAATTGGTTGAGACTCAGTGAGAGATTCATTGAAAAATCATAACAAAATGTGCTGCTGGATGTTCCACAAAACAAAAATTTTGCAGTTTTAAAAAGTTTCCCCCTGATTTTATGATAGAACCTTAATTACCATCCTTTCCGCTTTGTGTATAATAGATTGAGATTGTTTTCCAATTTTCCTGCTTTAGGGAAACCTTGTCATGGCTTTCTTCCTCTCTTAGAACACTCTGGGCACCTAATGATGAGGCACCGAATAGTCAAAAGTACCTCTCACAAATAGCAACATAATTCACTATCAGAGTATGTGATCCAAAATAGGACCTTTATAGTCCGCATCAAGAAAATAGATGAGTTAGATGGCAGCTCTTCCCCTATTCCCTCTCTGCCTGCATGCCTCTTTATACTCTCCTCCTATACCCTGTTTGTTAGACTGACACTTCTTAGGGACTCTTTGTATACAGATATCTGAGCACATGGCAAGCCTCAGAGTCCTCCATTTTGTTCCTGAATATGGAGAGAGACAAGATGTCTCCAGAGAGTAGTTAGATAGAGCCTTTACTTTCCTATCTTGGAATGTAGTTGTTTGAATAAGTTATTTCATAACTTTAAAAGCTTGACTCTGCTTCTGTATTGCTGAAGCTCATTTGCTCTACTGCTGGCTCAAGAAGTTTCTGATCTGCTAAACTGCCACTACTGCTGCTGCTGCTGCTTTACTTTAGAAATGCTTTATCCTTTTTGAAATTACCCCAACAAAAATTTGAATAATGCGATGGAATGGAAATCATGCATAGTTCACGTCTTTACCACTCCACACACTGTCTTGCTAGAGAAAAGATATGCCACGCTGATGATCAGTAAACAATAAGGTGTTTACTCTTTGTTATGCAGACCAACGTACATCCCAGGCATCCTCAAACTGTAGCCCTCCAGCTGTTTGGGCATCTAACTCCCAAAAGCCCTAATGAGCTTGTTCAATTGTCAGGAATTCTGGGAGTTGAAGGCCCAAACAGCTGGAGGGCCGCTGTTTGAGGATGCCTAATATATACAATCATGTGAACAGTTGCATTGATTCACACAATATCCTTTGAGAGAGATTCAAATGATCCTTAGGTGTCCATGTGAAAGATCTTCTTCCAGCAGCCAAGAAGCAAAAATACAAACTGTTTTGGTATGCTACTGCAAAGAAAACCTAAAAATGTAACTGTTGCCTAAACTCCCAGGCTCAGCTAGCTTCTCGGGTTTAGCTCAACCAATCAGCTTTGTGCTTTGCATTTTTCAGTTAACACACTCACCAACTGATTTTTACATGCTCCAACAAATAACACGTTGAAACAGAATACTATAGTATGACCTTGCCTATACAGTAGCAGTTGCTAAGGATACAGTGATCATCTTACACCTATAATATGAAGAATGTATTTTGTTTTGTGTTCCCATTTCATAATTGAATGCAGATGTTCTGACAGAGCAGTTAGTCCAAAGAAATTTATTCTCTTCCTGGGGAGCTGCCACCAGATTCACTCTGATCACCAAACAGAAGTCCAAATAACTCTGGCTTTTGTAGAGTGTTTTTTTTTCTTGAAGCTTACAGCTTATAAATAAAACCCCAGCTTTCCTTCCAAATAGTGGAATTTTGAAGATTAATATGATTTTCAGTTCCTTGGTAGCCAAATCTTTTTCAAATGAAATATGAGTCACTCAGGCATTGCCTCCATAGCTACCACAACAAACAAGTCTACAATAGTACTTCAGTGGGACTGGAAGAAAGTGAATGTCTACTCTGTAATTCCACGGCAGAATACTGTCTGGTGCATCCACTAAGAACAAAAACTGAATAGCCCCAAAATGTTTGGAATGGACAAATGTGGTTGATACGCTCCTGTGCAGCATTCTCTAATTGAGGAAGTGATGCCAATTTCTTCAGGAGGTCAAGGGCGTGTTGAATATGGAGTTGACACATCTATACGATGGCTCCCTAAAGGAGGGCAGAAACTTTACTTACCTCTGCCTTTGACGGTGAATTCCTATTTCCAGAGGTAAGTGCTTTTATGTTGGAAACACATAGCTCCAAACATAAATTAGACCTGCCTAAACCGTGTCTTTAAATTGCTTTTCTTCCTAACAGAGTCTGCCCCCTTCTACACTGCATCATAGCACTTTCCTACCTTTTTGACTGTCAAGGCTGTATCCTATGGAATCCCAGGGTTTATAATTTTGTCACCAGCAGAAAGTGTATAAAAGGGCTTAGTTGCAAAGGTTATTCAATCCCTTACAAAAGACATGTGGTTTTCTGAACACTATCAAAGATATGACGGTGCTTCTCTTTAGGCTCAAGATCTATAAGACATTATATAAAATTAAGAAGAAAAGTAGGGGGACAGTGAAAGTAAGTAAATTCAGGCATGTACTCATCTTAAAATCTTATCAGCCAGCACACCAATGTCTTAAACCAAGAAATTGCTTCCTAAGATCTACAGAGATACTCACAGGAACACCTCAGCAAGCAAGAGTCCAAAAGTGGCAGGCTAAAACCCAGAATCTCAATCAGCAGCTGAGACCAGATGAGAAACTCCCGCCTGGGCACACTGAAGACTGGACGA